CAGGAACATTCTCTCTCTGCCCAACATGAGGGGACTCTTTGACAAGGTATCCCATTCACCAACATTTTGTCTCCCCGGCACAGGCGCTAGCCCTAAGTTCTGAAACAACAGTTTTCTTGACTTGCTTTTACTCTCTCCTCAGAACTTTTTGTCTGGGCTTTCAACTACATCTACACTGGTGCATAAGTTGAAGCTTCGGTAGCTAGTGAAGCACATCTGCTGAGCTCCACTCTGAAGGACAAACCGTGACATCAAAAACTAACTTTAAGTTCAACTTAGCTAGTTATACTGGGCCATGGTATCCAGAGGCCATAAAGATAACATGGCAAGTGAAAATGTTCTTGACAGGAAAGTGCAGGCACTTCCTTTGCATGGGCACATCAGCTCCTGAAGAATGCATCTCAGCAGGCTTAGTGGAGGCTTGAAACTCAGCAAAGGTCAGATGCTTTTGGCATTTTAATACACTCACAGGAATTACAACATGTAAAGAAAGGATAGGATGTGCCTGTCTAGCTGATGTTGTGATACATTAGATTCTTTACAAAGTAATGAAGAAATGAGCAGGGACCAGGGCTGTCCTGCCAGTGACTTGTTCTTGGAGCACGAATGCTGCCTGCAAGGTGACATTGCCTGGGATGCTGTATAAAGATACTGCATCCTTCCAGTCTTCCTTGACTATCCCATATGCTGAGTTCTCCTTGCTTCAGCACCCAATGGAGCTTGGTAAGAATCAGGTGGTTGGTCTCAGGATGGGCCTTAAAAACAAAGGGAGCAGTGATGGCTCAGGACTGCTCTGTCTCACTCTTCCAAGCCAACAACAGGAAAGCACAAGTGACATCCTGCATGAAATGAAGCAGGACAGGGATCTTTGTAAACACCGCTTCCTCTTTGCTTTCTGTGTCTCTCCAGATTAGCCTCCTGGACCAAAAAAAGAAGACTGCTGTGCACGGGGCTTAGTCCTTAGCACGCACGGTGCACACGTCCTATTGGATTACAGGGCAGAGTGCACTCACATGGCCCAGTTTGTCAGAGACCCAGCTGAGTCTCTGCAGAGAAAAGGAAACAAGGGAGGGCATGAGTGAAAGTAACCTGGATCTGTAGATTATGATCTGAATGTAGGACCTAGGATGCCATCTGGGTCTGTGTGGGCAGAGTAACAGGGAAACAGAATTCGGGCCCTCCTTCCTGTATGGAGAATACACAAGGTAATAGCTGCTCAGGGTACCAGTCTGTAGACTAGATACATCTAGACTCTTGTGTGCCCTCAGAGATGTGGGAATGTGACCTGTCACACTTGAGATCTTGGTGAGGTCTCAAAACAAGGACGGATGATCACCTGGGACAGGGTTTCCATTGGGTTTATCTCTGTTCTCTTGGTATAGAATTCAGGTCACTAACAGAGATCTTTCCGCCCTGAATTAGCAATGAGTAGCTGTTCTCCTTGGAGCACTTCATTTACAGCACTCCAACAGTGCCATGGGATTTTGTTCCAAGGCCCACCCAGCAAGGAAGTGCCTGCCCCCTAAATCATACCCCACCTCAACCAGCTCTTCCTCTCCCTCCTTCCTTGTCTCTCACATTCAAATACTTCACCTCACCTCCCACTCTCTACTGACTTTGGTTCCTGACTTTTCACTTGAATGGCCAAAGAAAGATACCATTCCAAAACATTATCACCCTCTATGCCTGAAGCTGCAGGAGAGTTTCTGTTACCTGCTAGTAATAGTATCACAATACTTAGGGTCGGAAGGGACCTAAACAGATCATCAGGTCCGACCCCTTGCTCTGGGCAGGAACGGGTGCCGGGATCATATCACCACAGCCAAATATCTGTCCAGCTTCCTCCTGAAGACCCCCAAGGTAGGAGAGAGCACCACCTTCCTTGGGAGTCCACTCCAGAGCCTGGAAGCCCTAACTGTAACGTAATGTCTCCTTGATGTCCAGCCTGAACCTTCTCTCTAACCATTTGTGGCTGTTATTCCTAGTAATGCGGGGTGAGGCAGGGCTTCTATTCTATGGGCTTGCAGGAGAAGACAGAGTCCACCTACTAAGGCAGCTGTGCAAGCACTCCGCTACAGATATGTTCCTCAGAGAGCATCTGGGATCTCTCTCGTATCAGTAATGACCGGCACTGAGTTGAAAACAGAAAGACCCAACTATGAACACGGGTTATCTGGAAATCCTTCCTCTTGTTATTACAAAGAGTCTTCCACAGGACCCAGTCCTGGTCCTACAGACCTCATCCCAGAAATGCTCCTAACTTATTTTTAAAAGTTAAGTAAAGCCTGCAGTATGTGACTCAATGTCTCCAACATTCACAGCTGTAAGTACCAGCTCAAACCTATTGCATTCAGATTAATCATGAAGAAAAAGCATAATGCTGGAAGCAACAGGGCAGTGAGACCCAGAAGCTGCACAAAGGGGAGGGCAAGATGAGGACACTAGATGAGGTGACTCATCTGTGATGTCCTGTGGAGCCATCTCACTCCTTAGGCTTTGATGAATCTTCCAGGCTTTGTGCAGCCCGGTCCAGACAGAGAAGGGGGTGAATGGCAGAGAAACATCCTTTTGTGTCTGCAGATCACTGGCACAAGAACAGGCAAGCAGATTTTGAAGTGTAAATGAGATCCCCCCCCCACAGGCCCAGGCAAACAGGGGAAATCTAAGCCACAGGAAGCTGCTTTCCTCCCATTCCTCTGGCTTAGCCAATTCTCTCTCTCTGGTATGAAGCCACCAGGGTGCACAGCAAGCAGTCTGAAGGTGAGGAAGTAGAAGAAAAACAGATTATTGTGCAGGGCTACCACACTGCTGTCACTGACCTGAAAGCCTAAGTTTAAAATCTGCTTTTACAGGCTAGATAAGAGGTGTTAAACTCACCTGCACCACCAGGCCAGATCCAGACTACAAAACGCCTCCTGGGCCAGATTTTGACCTGGCTGTAGTGATGGGCCAACTGCAGCTCAGTGGTGGGCAGTGGCATGCAGCTCAGAGTCATCACATGCCTCCCATCACTGCCAGCATGCATGACCAACAGGGCTCCATCGATGGAAATCTAGTGGCAGGTTCTGCCTCCTTTTTCCCTGCCTTCAAATTCCCAACCCCACTGCCTAATACAGCCCACAGGCCATACATTTGACAGCACTTTACTAAACCATCCTACATAGCAGAACTCAGAAGCTAAGTCAGTTGGCAGCAGTTGCAAGCAGGCAAACCAGACCTGAGAACGCAGTGGCGCTGCGCATCACCTGAGAATGAAAGACTTCCTGGCTCACTGGAAGATCCTGCTTTCACTTTAGATTTTTGTTCATATTCAGCTGCACTGGACTGTGGGAGGCACAACAAAAGGGTCTGTCTATGTGCTGGAGCTTGGGAGGTCTTGGAAGATGGACCCAAGAAGCTGGAGAACTGGCAGGAACCCACTCCGAGCCAAATGTCCATAGAGCAATGTCTCCGTCTCTGCTCAAGCAAACTGTTGCCAGTACTACAAATACCTAGCCATCTGCAGTTAGAGCCTGGTACCTTTCAATGAACTGTCATTGTGTTTAACCTCAAGCAATGCAAGGGGCAGAAAAGCCATGAAGGAGCTCCCTGCAGGACACCCGTCACAAGGCCACAGAGTTCCCCGCTTAGCACCATTCACATTCACTTTTTGCTCAATATGATGCAGCTGTCAGCCAGCCCACAGGGCTTCCTGCTCAGTCCCTATCACTTGGTGGGGTGGTGCTGGGGGGTGGGTTGATATCCCCATCGGCACTGCAGCCATTCCTTGGAGTCACGCAAAGCGCAATCCTCCGTCCAGCACAATCCAAGCATAAGGCTCACTACTCATGTTGGCAGCACTCCCAGCCTTGCACCACATGTGCTGGGTCTGTGGTTGTGGAGTGCACAGACCCTTTGCCAGCACAAACCACGCAGCACCGGCTGCTACAGCACTCCCACGGGGCCTCGGCCACACCTACCCACCCATCACCAGAGGTCAAGGGGAGCTTGCATCAAGACTCCCGCCCTGCTGCTGGGATCAGGATCCTTGTCTTGGACCCATCTCCTGTGTGGCTGGTGCTATCATGGCCTGGAGATGAGACCAGGTGGGGACCAGAGACACTAGGATGTGGGGACGCAGCAGAAGCCTCGGCCTTGCCAGACCCAAGCAGCCACCAGCTCCCAGGTCCACATCTTTCTACTGAGCCCCAGTTCACCATGAGCGCTTGACTCCCTGGGACGAGAGCGCCGGCGCCCTAGGACCCCAGGGCAGACTCCCCGGAGGAGCTGCGGCCCCGGCTCCCCGGGAAGGGCCGAGGGCGCCTAGCACCTGCATCCGTGCCGCAGGGAGGGGGGAGAGACCCTCGCGATAAGCCGGGGTCGGGGCTGCAGCCGCCTGCGCCCGCTCCACAGCAGCCCACCCCCGCCCGGCCGAGGCCTCTCGGAAGGACGCACGTACCTGCCGGGAGCTGCCTGGTGCTGTCTCGCCCCGCGGGGCCACTCGTCCCGGGCGCCGCTCCCCCCGGCCCGGCCCGGCTCAGCCCCATCCCGCCCGGCTCCCGGGGC